CCTCGCCAAATGAATTCTGTCTTGTGTCATTCAAGCTACATCATCATGTACTCTATGATTCAATCAAAGAGTGTACTCCATTATTCGATCAAAGAGTGTACTCCATCATTCACAAATAATGGAATTAATATAATACACTTCTAAAGTTCGTTACATTTTACCAAAATAGTGGTTTAATTACGCGAAAATACAACAACGTTGAATCCGATTATATTTTCATTAAATCTGAATAAACTACATTCCTATCGTCCAAAAATGTTTTACAAAATAAAAAATGTTATATGTTGAAATTTCTTTTTTAATTAACAGTTCAGTCACTAGCAATAGATAAGAAGACACTAGACAGACATCAAGATTACATTGCATCAATAATTGATTCATAATTCAAGTACTAGACAAAGCACACAAGACGAGAAAACATTGTAAAGGGTTGTCCATTTTGCTCAATTGAGAAAGAATTTTGCTGTGGGTACAAAAGACACGCCCACAGAAATTCAACATATTAGACACAGCAGGTGGGGCCCTTTTTTTCAAATATTTTAAATTTACATGAACCCCACACCCATGTGAATTTTCTGTTTAAATTCTGTTGGAATTCTTCCGTACAAATGCATATCCTCATTGAGAAAATACATGTCATAGGTCATCCAACTTGGCCTGCACCCATACCATACCACACCACATTCTTGATGTTCTCTTACAGAGGAAAGTAATTTTTATTACGTTTCTATTTACCGTTTTCAAAGAAGCTAAGGACATGTTCTCTTTACCGTTTTCAAGTCGTTTTCTGTTTTCGATTTTCTAAAATAGTGAAAACGCGTTTTTGAAAATAAGTTAAAAATTTAAAAAGAAAGCTCAAAAGTGTTTTCAGTTATAACCAAACCAAAATTTTTAAAATGCGTTTTGGATGTTTTCGATTAAACCACTAACAACCACCGTCATTGCCGCCTGCACACCGTCACCGTCGCACCGCAACGCCCACCATCGGCGATGTCATAGCCACCACAGAAGAATCCCACCATCACCCAAAACCATCACTCCCAAAAATACCGCACTCTACACACCACCCAAAAACAAAGAAAGACGACAGAAAGGAGAGACGACGGAGAGAGAGGGGAAGAAGAGAGACGAGAAAGATGAGAGAGAGGAAAAGAAGGGAGAGAGGGAAGAAGAGAGAGAACAAGTTTTGGGTGTTTTCATTTTTGAAAATAATATTTCAAAATTATAAAAAGAACACATTTTTAACAATTTCAAAATGAACACTCAATACAAAACTCAAAACGAAAAATTGAAACACGAAGAGAATAGCCCATGAGCATCCATTTGATAAATTTATAAATTTGCTACTAAGAGAAATACTAGTAGATTTCATGAAATGTGTGAATAATAATAAGTAATAATTATAAATATGTAATTAAAACTAATTGTTGTTCAAACCAAACCAAAACACTCACCAATCGACCGGCTCAACTAAACAATTCTTAACACCTTGGTTGCCTCAGTTTTACGCCCACAAAGGAGACATTTGGTGGTGATATTTGCAAGCTACAAAGGGAGGAAAAAGAACATAAACAAAGGTTGAATCTCAAACAAAAACACACGAAAACCGGCCGCCTCTCTCAACTCTCTCATCTCTTGCAAACTTCATAGCCACACACAAAAGAAAAAACACACGACTATATGTATATAGATATTATGTTTAGTTTTGAGCCAAGACTCACCCTCAATGGGCAAGTTAATGGGCTAAAAATAACCAAATCCATACACTAACCAAACTACCAACCCAACTCAAAACTGAGGTCCTACAAAGGTATATTAATTATTTTCGAGTAGAGCCGTCACTTTGGTGTCGATAAATATTCGACATCCATTTTATCGTCGCCCGGATTTATTGGGCATCAAAACCCAACACTAATTTTTAACCTTAACTAAATTCATAAATCAATTTATAAATTGTATCCAAATGGAAGCATGTCTACCAAAGATGATAATGTAAAGAATCCGTTTAAGTATATATTTTGAATAAATAGTTATGCTAAGTGATACATGTTTAAAATTCCGTGGTTTCAAACGTAAATATTTGAAAACAATAAATTTATATAATAGGAAAAAACAAAAATAAAAGTAAAAATGTGTTCACTTATAAGCTCCTATTTGGTTTAACTAAAAAGTGTAATAAAAATCGTATTTTATGAGACTTGTAACTTTATCAATTATTTAATCATATATTTCATCCACTTATTATTTTTTAGCAAAACCAAACAAGGGCTAAATATGTCATTTCATGTATCCAATTCTGGGAAATAACTCGTGCAGTAACCACAAATTACAATCAGATATTAAGCATTCAACTTTTGCACAAGATTACAAATATCCAACTCGTACACCATTGTCATTTTTCACTCTTCCACTCAATCAATCTCCCAACTCTAACCTCACATTCTATCTTTATATAGGACACCTTCCCTTCAACAATACCCAAAACCTAATTTTCCAAGCTAGCAACAATGGCTTCCATCAATCTTTTCTTCATTTTGGTCTTCTCCTTCCCTTTTTTCGTGACGTTCACTCATGGATGTGTCACATGCATCCCGAAGTCACAGCCACCACCGGCGAATCTCTTCTGCCCTATGGACACCTTGAAGCTTGGCGCCTGCGTTGACCTCCTCGGAGTTGTTAACGTTGTTGTTGGGACCCCGTCATCGGACAAATGTTGTGCTGTACTGGAAGGGTTGGTTGACTTGGAAGCTGCAGCTTGTCTTTGTACTGCCATTAAGGCTAATGTGCTTGGAATTAACTTGAATGTGCCAGTTGCACTTAGTGTGCTGGTCAGTGCTTGTGGCAAAACCATTCCTCCAGGCTTCGAGTGTGTATAGATCAATATTCCATTCAAGCCCTCATTTGATGTGTCTTTCTTCAAGCCTCATTTGGTGTGTTTTCTCAATCAACTTGTTATGTAGTGTTTGGTGCATCGGCTTCACTGCACGCACGGGATAGGATTAAAGAAAAAACTAAGTTAAAATCTTATTCGAAAAGTATTTTTCAGTACTATCTATCAAACTTGTCCTTGGAGTGTGAAGCAAATGTTTTTATTTTGTTAGCTGGTGACATTATTGTGCTGTTTGCTTTTTTCTCTGTGTTCTATCCTCAGTTGGAATTGTTAATAATTTCTTTGTAAGATTATGTGATTTGGCATAATAAAAGGCATTTAAACCATTTATTTGTTATTACTTATTAGAATATTTGATGCTAAGAAACTTGCCATGGAAAATTCGTTAAAAATGTGTTAAAAATTTGAGTCAATGAGAGCTATAAACAAAGGACCATTCTTGTTGTATAGGGCCACATGCTCCCCAGCTATAGGGGCATCACTTGGCGCTATGTGAGCCCTGTACCATCAGTTTATTCCATAAACAAATGGACCATTTGTAAAAATATCCTTAAAATTTGGAATCTTTTAAAAAATTATATGAAAAATATTTTAGAAATAAAAAAATGTGTAAAATTAACCGTCATTTTTTATTAATAAGTGAATCAATGTCACCTTTTTTAATTTAAGTGAAAAAGTTTTATTAAAAAGTAAAGATTGTCACTCAAAAAAGTGACAGGAAAAAAAATAAAAATACTATGTAAAATAAGTGACACAATATCACTTTTCTAAGTTAAGTCTCACATTATAATTAAACAAAAATATTGTTGTTACACAAAAAAGTGACAGAAATTTCAAAAAAATAAAAAATAAAAAAAGAGTAACAAATACTGAAAAAATGACCAAAAGAAATAAAGTGACGCGCTAAAAAAGTTACAACAATTCAAAAAAGTGCAAATTTAAAATATGTAACAAACAATAAAAAAA